GAGCAACGCCCAGAAACTCGACTATATAACTGCTGTTCAGTGTCTTCAGCGCCTTCCCACAATTTCACATTTTGGCGGGGCCCAGACGCGCTTCGACGATTTTCAGGCGGTTCACGTTGCTCTCGCTGTTGACGTGCATCTAGTTGTGAGCAATCTCAGCTCGCTCTTGCAAGCGATCCTGACTTCATTTCAGGGCCAATTTCTCCCATGGCATCGCCGGCTGTTGAACTTGTTCGAGACCGCGTTGAGGGACGAATGTGGATTTGAGGGCGCTCTTCCGTTCGTTGTTCTTCCTTGATTTCATACGGGTAATTCTCATTGTATACACTTGCAGGTACTGGGACTGGCGCCCAGATGCCGACAGCGGTATCCCGTACGTCGCTCTCTCACATTTAATCGGTCAATTAAACTTTCAACGCTTCAGGTTGGTCAAATCCCCCGTCTTCGACTCTGTGTATGGCTTCGGCGGCAACGGCGCCGACGTCCCCAACTACGCCGGTCAATTCGGCAATCTCAGCGCTATGGCCAGCGCCGGATGGGTTGCGCCTGGCGCCGGCGGTGGGTGCGTTATAGACGGGCCCTTTGCATCGTACAACCTCAGTGTCGGTCCCGGAACCAATGTCACCAACCACTGCCTTCAACGCGCCTTCAACGACAATATCCGTGGCTTCCTATCCAGCGCGCAGGTGGCCGAAGTCGCGCGGCAGACGACGTTCGAAGCCTTCCGTGTCGAGCTTGAGGGTGCGCCGGTGACGGCAACCATGCGGCTGCACGATGCCGGGCATAATGCCGTTGGCGGCGAGATGGCTGATCGGTATTCGAGTCCTGGAGGTGAGTGACGAACGGGTTGCGAAGGGTTCGAGTAACACTAGCTAATAACTTCCCTGATGCTTCTAGACCCAATCTTCTATCTCCACCACACATTCCTAGATAAACTATGGTGGCAATGGGTAGGCATGAACTTCTCCTCCAGGCTCGAAGACGTATCCGGGCGCTCGACTGTTGATGCGCCGTATGTGAGCGTTACCTTGGACTTTGAGCTGGGTATGGAGATGCTTGCACCAACGGTGACAATCCGGGAGGTGATGGACATTCGGAATGATCTCCTATGTTACATGTACGAATAGTCGGTCACCTCGCTATCTTCTGCTCCTTAAGTCACGCGCATCCATCTTGAAGCGCATGATTTCTGTCTTTTTTGCCGGCTGGAACGACGCTTAAAAAGAGGAGCAAAATAAGAGCCGAACTCTGCCGTGATCAAGTTCCCATCAAATGAACATGCCGATTCGAACATGCCGAGTCGGCATGTTCGCATGTTCGACCTGCACAAGCTGAGATTTCAAACTAGAATCACCGTACATCCTCCATTTGAATTCATGCAGAGAGAGTCGACGAACATGTCCACAACGAGCAAAGCCTTCAAATTGAACATACCGACTCGGCATATGTAATCTAGAATCACGAAAATCGCGGATGGCCATCTCAATCACCGAGAGAACATACTTTTGCGAAAGGCGGGAGCGAGCCGTTTCATCAGAGAAAGGGAGTCCAAGAAGGCTGGGTAACAATCTCGAGCCCCTTTCCATCGTCGAAACGTTTCACTTGACTCAACGGGAAATTGAACCACGGTCACGTACCATGTGAATTTCGATAAGGTCTCAATCTATCCTGAGCTGCTTGAAGTAGTAGGTGTTTTGGGAGGCATCATTCAGGAGCTCGAAATCGACAGGAACCGCCAATGTGACCACACATGGAATGTTCATTGAAGTTCGGGATGCCCGGCCAAATGCAATCTCCGTATCCCAATGTGGGTTCCTCAAGACATAACGTTTCTTCTATAGCTCCACCAGTGGTTTACAATCAATGCTTCTGAACTTCGAAATTTTCGACGCGTCATTCACGGAAATAGCATGGGAACGGCAATGCAACCGCAATATATGTAGGTCAAGATCTGAAAAATGTATGTCAGCTTGCAAGAAAAGAAAATCAACCAACGCACCATGTATGTTTTATGATGGTACTTCGGAGAGTCCCCCTGGACGACGCGGTACGCCATATAGAACATTGAGAGTGTCAACAATGCCCCGCAGTACCCGACAAGCCAATGCGTGTAGCGGAGGAACTCGAGCCGCCAGCAAACCGCTGGGGCGGCGCAAATAATTGCGGCCATAATCCACCGGAAATGGGAGCCCATGACGATGGGAAGTGTGCGCCTGCCCGTAACTTTATCCCCCGCGATGTCGCGCAAATCCTGTACACTGGCGACGATTCCAAACATGCCGCTAAGCAAGATGGCCCACCGCCACTCGCGCGCGGTGATGGGCGCCACCAGGCCCCAGGCCCCCTGCAGCATGCAGAGAGAACCTGTTGACATGAACAGGAGGTTTTTAGTCGTCCAGTGCTTGTCGCCACCGTCTGTAAAAGCGTAGGTCAGTTAGACGAACTAATCGCAGACGGTGCGGATGCATACAGAAGCTAGTATAAATGGTAATAAAGACCCAGAGAGCTGCCCACGGTAGAACATTCCATGCTGCTGCCAGGACGAGGTGCACGGCAGTGGTGATGTACCACCGAATGTACGCGCCTTGGAGCGAGACGAGGCCAGAGGAGAGGGGGCGGTCGGGCTTGTTGATACGGTCCTCGGCAACACCGTTAATTTGGTTGGCGATGTCGAAGTTGTATATGAAGAGGAGGAAGTAGATGAAGGAGCGCGTGAGGGATTGCACTACGAATTCGCTTGATGGGGACGAGTCGAGAGAGCGAAGGGCCGCGATGGTGTACATCATTCCGGGGACAACACTCGTGGACCAGTCGCGCCATGTGAAGTACCAAAACACGCGTAGTTCGTGCTGAATTGCGTGGGAGATGATGGAGAAACCAAGTATGCTGTCCACACTATCGGGGTGCAGCTGAAGGTTCTGCGTTTCTTGAGAGTCATGAGAAACGGAAACCCGTCAACGTGAAGTATAACCTCGACGTACCAAAGGCGTTCTTCATATTAAGGGAAGTAGGAAGTCCAGGAGAGCGTGTCGGATAGCCAAAATACGTCCTCATTAAATAGTGAACCTACAGGAATAGTGTTCCTTCCTCGACAGTCAAAATTCAGATAACTACTGACGACCTCCACGGAGTTATAAACCACTGGAGGTTCTTCGTGCAAGTTCCGGCGCCGATGCGCCGGAGTGGATAAACCTGCCATTGGAAGACAGCCTGATTGCTGATCATGAGTGTGCTTGAACTGAGGGCGGTTCCCCAAAATGACCATTCGTTGCGAAGGATGGAACACAGAATCGCATGAACTTGCACCATCCTGGGCAAGAATTCCACCGTAGATTGGCGGTTAAATGTCCTGTCCGCCTCAGGCTCACACTGGACCTGCTGATGACTAGAAATTTGGACGGTACCTGTGATCGTTATCGCAGCAATCCGACAGTCCCCACGACAGACAACTTGCAGGTGGAGGATAGCCGAGGAATCGGAGCGAAGATAAGCATAGAAGACTCCCAAGGGAGCAAAAGACGAATTCTGGATCACATGATACCAGTTCGTTCAGCGAATCCCGCCATGAGAATATAAAAAGATTTCGTTGAGATTGCGGCGAAATCGGAGTAAAAGATGCCCTGAGAAGGAAGACTTCCAAGAGAGCGAAATGTGAACCTCGGATTAGATGATACGGTTCTAAGGGAAAGTGTTCGGCTAATTCCGGGGGGCTGGAAGCAGCATGTGGAAAACCAATGAAATTAATTGTCAATGCACGCGAGTTTCGGTCCAGAATTGCCGCCTCCAAGCCTAAAATCTTTCAAGTCATTCTATGCCTCCAGAATTGCTGGAAAATCGGGTCGGAAATTTACTGGCTGCTGGGAATCGCTGGGAATGCATTTTTTTCTCTCAAGTGATGAACGCGATGGGTCAACATGCGACGAGTCCGGCGGCCACGCCTAGCCGCCGATAGGCACGCACCTGCAGATTATTATCTACCCATGTCTGGTACGAGCAAACCAGGAGTTCGTCTGTCAGCATCAAGAGTACCCACGCATACTGCTATAGTGAGGAAGGATACAGGCTGCATGATGCATGTCCACGTATCGCTATTTCACGCGCATCGCCCTCTTCTTTTATCGCCCTCTTCTTTTATCACGCCTCTCTGTTCTCCCTCCGACCCAGCGGACATGGCAGTGCGTGATGTGTCCAATTCTACGTATGGACGAAGTGCGCAGTGGCTTGACTCGGCGTCGTATTCGCCGATTAGAAGTTCAAATTGAACATGCCGGCTCGGCACATGTAATCTGATCTAAAATCACAAACTTGTTGATGGCCGGCGAGTTCAACATAGTTTTGCGAAAGGCAGGTGCTAGCTCTCTCATCGACGGAGTTCAAGAAGGTTGTGCCCTTGTCATCGTCGAAACGCTTCACTCGGTTCAATCGTATCACGATGTTGAACCAAGGTCACGTGCTATGTTGAATTCCAAGAAGTTCTCAATCTAATATCCTCAGCTGCTTGGTGTTTTGAGAAGCATCATTCAGTATAGCATCTGAGATGCCGAAGTTGACAGGAACAGCCAATGCAATCACAGACGGAATGCTTCTCGAAGTCCGAGATGCCCGAGAAATTTCAACCCAATATCGCGCTGAATCCCAATATGGATTCCTTCGAGAGGGGAGGGCGATCAGAGTGAAACAGAGATATATTCATGCTGTAAGTACCAGTAGTGCTTGGTGTCCGTGTTGCATGTCACGTCCGGCCCCTTCTGTATGGGGTTGTTCAAGGCCGAGTTTACCTTGCATTCTAGCACTGGTTTAACTGCGGCTGCCACAATCATACTTACTACGCAGCTATTTGCATAGTAAGTATGACGCAGCTATTTGCATCCCCACAGCCGGAGACAAATATTATATTATATTCAAATGCAGGTTTCGCCCCATAATCACATGCGACTCCGCCGAGTCGAGTCTTCGTCATACATAACCATAGCATCGAAGGACATCACTGACAAATTATAGACCTGGTAATGTAGTGGCAACACGGCCGCTGCAAATTGCAGCACAGTATGCCGGAATCCCCTGTTCGATTCGGGGCCAAGTCCTGTTGATTTTCCGTCGGTGGTTTTCTTTTCCCCCTGTTTCCTTAAGCCTAATGTTGTTCCATTTAAAATTTAAAACACCTGATTCGGGTTGTCCCCTCTCGAAGTTGTTGAAGTTTCGGAGCTCGGGGAACGGAACGGCAAGCGGGGTAAGCGAGTTGGCGGTGGGGTGGCGCAGCGGAGGCCGACTTGGACGCTTATCTTGATCCATCCCTTGGAGGAACACCGCCATATATTTCCCCTCAAGTCCAGAAACCGTGAGTGAAAGCGCGGATTCTGGTCCAGTTCTCTCCCCTGGGTCTATTGCGCACCAGCCTTGATCGTTTAATGCTGGGCCCGCACCTTGGGTTGGGTTTGAGTTCGGTTCAGCGGACGGCTTGTGAACGACCGTTTCCTTTGGGGACTCTCGGTTTCCTCTCCAGGTTGACGCGAGGTAAATACTTATACATGTGGTTCGAGGATGGACTCCGAAGGCCGCCCGAGACTTGGCCAATCCCATGAATGAAGATTTTAAACGAACTAGGATGCCGGCGGGAATTAAATTAAACTAGTCCAATATTCATGTCGCTCGTTGAGGAACAAGTCTCAACTTGACGGTTAATTTCGGAGTTGCGGAGGTGGTTTAAATGGATTTAATGGGCGCAATTACAAGACGCCGGCGCCGCTGTCCGGACACCCACGAGTCTTGACCCTTGATCGTGTTTCACCGACGGACGGATGGACTGAAGTGCCCGACTCGGATGCGGTCCGGAGAGCCTGGTCGATTTCTTTCGGAATCCTCGGTCCTGAAGTTGACGGGAGATATGCGGTTCGATGCTGAGAATCCCAGCGAGAGTACATAAAGCCGAGGTATTTGGTATTACTGAGGACAGGCACAAGTTGTTGAATTAATCATTGATTTAGGGAGCTACCCTTTGCTGCTGTCGACCGAGGCTTGCTAAATTGCTCGAGTCAGGGTCGAATGCGGAATTCAACGAAATGGAGGTCGAGCGTAATATTAATGCAAACCTGAACGCCGCTGCCAATGCTGTGCCGTCCAGCCAAGTTGTGGTTCTTCCGAGTCCTTCCGCCGTGCGCATCAAGTCGGGCTGATTCTGCGGCGCCCAAAATTAATCCAACGGACAGTGCAATCGAATCACCTATGAATGATCAGAAGTGTCAGCTATTTTGTGTAATGGCGGCAGAGGCGTGATATATGTTTGACTTCATACCTCGTTCGAGGCTGGCATGGCTGGCGTGATGCATGCTTGACGATGATCGTCGTTAGTGCGAGGCAGAGCCAGAATTGAAGGAGGGTGTGCGAGAGACTGAAAACAGACCGCAAGGTTGAACATGATTGCTTATTCGGACCCCTGAATATGTAGTAGCCGAGTGTCGAGGGAGGTGATCTATGTACGAATGTAAGCCAAATTAGACTCACAACTTGGACATCCCTCAGGAAGGGACCACACCAGCGACCCACAAGGATCCGACAACGTCCGAATCCAAGTACGTATGTAGTCCGTGCTTCAGGAACCGCCCGCTGACGGGCAACTAGCGTATGTTGAAGACTTTAACTCGGTTGAGTTGATGAGACGAGATGAGGAGGTTGCACATAACTCGCCCCTCGGATGAGGAGATAGGCCGCATCGCATCAGGAAAGTTGAGTGATTCGTCTATTTGAAGAGACCCTCTAGCGGTAGTAGAATCACGGAGCGCTCGCTGTACAATTGCACAGGCCTATGTGGGCGTACGTTTTGATGGATACGGGGACCGTATTTGAACCGTGTGAAAATACTAAATTCTGGGTGATCGAAGGTGTAATACGGGTGTTTTGGGAGGCACCATTCATACCATTTCCGACGTTAAAATCGACAGGACCGTCAATGCAATCACACATGGAATGCTTGTTGTGGTCCGAGATGTCCGAGAAATTTCAACCCCAGACTACCGCGTCTTCGATCCCAATATGGGTTCCTTAGAGGCAACAGCAGTAATCTGAGTCGATCCATCGCACGATATAGTTGTGCTGTACTTTGGCGTCCATGCATCACGTCCGGCCTCTTGCGGATGGGTTGTTCAAGGCCGAGCTCGCCCCTTGCATTCCAGCACTGGTTAACTGCGGCTGCCAATTGCTGTTGTACTGAGCAGCTATTTGCGTCTCGTTTCTCATTTCAGCACAGCTAGACTATTTGGTAATACACAGTCTCTCACTTCTTCAGTCAGTCACACATTTGCGCTACAGTAGATTGGAATACTTACAAGTACTTACGTTTAGGCCCGACCAATGAAATGAGCAAAATACTGCCTCGGCCGTATAGCACTTGATCATGAAGGAAGATCTAAATCCTGTGCAACACCAGTTTTAAATCCGCTGAATCGCCCGTATGTGACTGCCTTGAATTGAGCGTTCGTCAAAAGAATGGCATCACGGACCTGGTGGTGTAACGATAACACAGCTGCTCTAAATGCTCTTTCCCCTTTCTCCTTTGCTCAATTTAAAATCAAAACATGATTGAACGCAATCTCCCACCCTCCTTGGACTTCGGGGAACGGCGAACAAACGGCGAGCGGAGGCCGAGTCGGCGGTGAAGAGGAGGCCGATCTAAGACACCGGAAAACACCGCCATCCATTTTACCTTCCAGTTCGACGGCCCTCCATTCAGATCCCAGCCTCCCGGTCCTTCCTTCTAGTCAGTTATACTTTCCGTACCTCGATCGGCTGATACCGAGTTGCAGTTGATCGAGGGCTTGGAGTCGAAGGAACACGGCCACGGCCACGGCCCGAAGAGCCATTAATATTTTTCAGATGGTTCAGCTGCCTGGGACCCGAGTTTAGCTAGCTGGCCGGCAGCCTGAGACCCCTCCCACTCGGCGTTATGGAGCTCGATCGAGGTTGGCGGGAGTTATGTGGTTCGAGGTTGAAATTTATCGAGCAGCGCTGATCTTCACCTCGGCTGGTCATGGCACCCTATACGAGTCGGGTTCCTCCGTGGTTGAAATAAAACGCCTCTTCGGATTCCTTCGACGTCGACTCTTTCGTCCACCCCCCCCAAAGATTTCTGCGGTCTAGTCAGGCCTACGCACAAGTTCCGATCATTGCTAGGTGCGATGCCCCTTGAACTCACCGCAAGACGTGATGGATGGATGCACGCACGCACGCCGTGGCTTGATGTATGCTAGGCCACTGCATAAAAGGACTAAAGTTGAACATGACGATATGTGCGGGGCCAGAGATCTAGACAGAAAAGGAACGCGAGGTTGAGCCGTCCGTGTCGAAATATTTGCCAACGACTCGAGTCGTACATATAATTACTGTTTGGGAATGACTCAATGAGACGTCGGACGAGATAATTTGTCGCCTGACGTCTCGAAAGCGACTCGGAGCGAGGAGCGGATTCGCAAGCGTCCGCACGCGGTTTAGGTGGGAGGGAGGATTATTCCAAGTTGACGGAGGGAGGCGCCAAGCAAGTTGCTATGCACTTACTTTCGCCCCTGCCCCGAGCGAAGGAGCATCCCAGCCACGGTGCACATCCATCCAAAGAAATCCGCCCCAGCACGATTCACGAGAAATTGCGGCTTCGATCGTCGTCGAGGAGCCGTGGAGTTATTGCTCACCGACTCGGAGTGAGGTGTAATAGGCAAGCCGGGGGTTTCACAGGCGCCGTTGGGGACGATTTGGTCTATGTGGCCATGGCCCGGGGTGAGGAGGATTAGACAGAGGCGCCGAGTTTTTCACGACAGGCTGTCTGTGTGATCAAGTAAGTATCCCTTCTTTCCTTTCCTTTCCTTTCCTTTCGTTGAAGGACCACGAAGCAGAGCCGTGCGTAGCGATTAAAATCGACAAAGAGCAGTATTCGTAGCGGCGGAGGCCCCAAAAATGCCCGTTCGCGTGGATCGCCGACTTGAAGCCGGCAAGTTTGCGCCAAGTCGTTCGCAATTCAGTTTATCGTCGGCGCCCGTTCCGCTCCCGCTCCCGAGCTCACGCGATTGTCAGCACAGACGCGCGACGCGACGCGAGCGGAGGCCTTTTTTTGTGCCCAACTTTTTACCTGCCTGCCTGCCTGCCTGTCTGACAGTTTCGTTTCGTTTCATTTTGTCTTGCTTTGCCGACCCTGAGTTGGGTATGTATGTACTTACAAAGAAACTCTTTCCTGCAGGCGATCGCGTCGGACCCGGACGCGCGCGCGGACCTCGGGTCTCGAGAAAAACTTGCAATTGGGAAGATGGTGGAGAGAAAGGAAAGGAAAGGTGGTGTGGCGATGCCCTTCCGATGATGCGCCCGGGTCCTTTCCTTTTCGGGTTTGCGCACCTTCCCGCCTAAGCCTGCCTTCCCTGCCTGTCCGCCTTAGCCCTCCTTTGCTCCGTATCGTTTCCTCACCCCCTCCTCTGACCAGTCCTTTTTACACCTTCACCCCTTCACGCACGCAAAAAAACAAACAAAACCCCACTTCAATTATTCGTTTGTACAGTACTTTACATATTCCGGGGTCGTTACTATGTGTGTATACCTATACGATATCTAATCCAAAAAAAAGGAGACGTATGTGTTGTGTGATTCGAGGCACGATGGGTAAATACTATGGAGGAAGAGTCATATGCAATTGGAGGGAGGGAAGAGAAGAAGAGTCCATGCGTGGCTTTTGCTTTTGCTTTCACGCCACATTGAGGTCTGCTTGGCAAGCAGCCGCGTTTTTATGTACACGAGTATGTACAGCTTGGTCTTGGTCGTCTAGGGGTCGTTATTCGTGAGTGTGGTCGTAATCGGGGATAGAGGGTGGTGGGGATGGTGGAAGGTGTAGTCGCGGTGGGATGGCGGGGCGATGGTGTAGTCGCGGTGGGTATGGACGATGAGATCGTCCATGGTAGCCGTGAAGCCGACGCCGTAGTCGGCGATGGCGGGCACTGGTGGTGGTGGCGCTGGCGCTGTAGTCGACGCCGTATAGCGGGTATGCAGGCACACGCCCTTCGGTGGAGGTGATACATATATATACATCTGGCCGCGCCGTGCATCGGGTATACGG